ATCTTAAATTTTTCAGATTGAAGTACCGCAATGGGAAAAATAAAATCAGAAGACTTATCTCTACACCTTAAACAGTCTCAAGCTGTTCGTAAACAAAATATGAAAGCATGATTTCATACCTATTGGAAGAATAGGTAGATTCTTTGTACTTGAATGTAGTTTGACTAAAATGTTAGGACATCTGATCATGCTACATGCTGGGAAGGAAGAGCCACTTAATTTCTGTGTTCCTGAGGAGTCGGCTTTGATAGAAGGGATTATGTAGTTTGCATACCAAAAATTGCTCTCCAATACACAAGCAAGACATATGATGGAACAGAGGATACTCAAGGGAAGACTTAACTCTACCATTCCCCAATAGCAAAGTGCTCGAAAATGTATTTGAGATAGTTTTTATTAAGCAAAGTGCTTAAGTATAGGTTCATGACTTATGGACTTTAGTAGAACTTAAGCATGTGCTTAAGTGGATTCCTTTATCCTTGGAAGCTTTAGCCCTTGACTCCTCATTCATGCAGCTTAGCTGCTTATCAGCCCTTCTACCTAAAAAGATACCAGTGAAGCAAAGCCAGGATTTGCTTCTATCTGATTAAAATTGGAAGAGAAGGAAAATATGCCTGTAAAAAAAATTGCTGCAAACTGTTTTCCCTTACAGAGTCCAACTGACGAAGGAATATGCAAAAGGAGAAGAGAATTGCAAAGCACTTCTTGTTCAAGCAGGTTCCCAGGGTTTTTCCCCACCTCTTCATTCCAGATTGCTTTCTTAGCCACCCCATCATAATTACTGTGTTGCATGCCTTATTACAGATGAAGTTATTGTTGTTACATGTTACTGTTTCACAATAATCAATGCATTTGTACTTCTAGCTCCAAATATCTAAAACCGCACAAGTCATAAATGGTTATGATCAAAAGCAACCAAAAGAATTTAATATGAGGGCAGTTTTCCTCTTAGTAACTGGTGATGGGTACTAGCTTCTCATGTATTCTAGACAGAATGTCTTGATTTTGGTATCATATGTGCTACTGTATGGCACCACACCTCTTGCTTAATCAGTTTGCTTATGGGCATTGTAGCTGATAGAACAAGCCATGTCAGAAAATACTGCTGTGCATCTCAATTCAGAATCCAGTTCTAAGTATCTCGATGATGGCAACAGAAAAACCATTTATATACATATGGAAATTGCAACACAAATACAATTAAATCAAATCAAAACAATTTAGCAAAGAATACAAAATTCTTTTTCATTAGCATGTAACAGATATGATTCATAGCTAGTGTTTGGCTCTTATACAATAAAATGTATAACAGTGTTGGCATGTGTTTAATACAACATCACAATGTAAATGTAAAACTAAAAAAAAAGTTGGAAATCAAATGAGCTAGAGCTCATTAATTTTTACTGCCTTATATTGTAAAACCAAACCTGAACCAATGGCATCATTTCACAGGAAGATTTCATGACTTTGTGGCAAAACTTAAAAGCATTCCAAAGAATTAGAGAAGGAGGCACAGAAGAAGGGAAGCAGCCAGAGCTGAGTAGAGCAAACTCAATAGTACTGATAAAATTAATTCCTTAGGTTACTACTCCTCAGCA